GGCTTAAGGCGCAAGGATAGGCTATTATTCTACATACTTTTGGGATCAGGGTAAACCCAAAGCTCTGTCGTTCTTGGTGGCAGTTCTTGGGTGGCAGTGTAAGAAACGTGGAAGGCGATGAGGAGCAGCTCACCCTCCACTACATCGATACGGGCTCGCCGGACACTCAGCTTCCGGCTGAAGAGTTGAGAGTTTCAGTTTCGAGATTCATTCTTAGGCGGTCCCGTCTACCTCGCTTCTGATTCGTGTACATGGCTAAGCCAGCATGTGTGCAGCACGCACCACTACCCTCACTACCCTTGTTGGCTGCATGCGTTTGAGGCTTGCAGCGAAGCAGTTTGCTAAAGCCAGTTGCGTTTGCATTCGTGCAAGCTTACCCGCTTTTTTCTTGGTGAATCATGCACGAGGCTTTCCTACGACACGCTGCAACCTGCATGGTAACCCTTATAGTATCCAACCGTTTTTGTAACGGAATAGGAACCCCCCTATAGAACCCGAAGGGAACCCTGCTAGATTTCGCAGGGGTTTCGTTGATATGTTCGAGTCTTGCTGAAGACGCGACCCTTGAAGTGTTATACTGTACTCGAAACCTAGCCAGGCACCCTTTTCGGGAGAACTCATCGCGAATCAACTCGAAGCCTGATGCAGGGTTCCGAAGCTGGCGAGGTGCCACATGAGCAGCTTGCCTTATATTATGGGGGGTTACGAAAATAGGGAACCCTAATATAGTACCCCAAATAGCAGGATCCTTATTATAAGGACCCCAAAATAAGGTACCCCTATTTTCGGAAACTCCCATATTCTGAAGGGCTCACGTACCAATCAACAGGAATTCAGCTTTATCCACTATGAATGTACCCATAGGCCCCCAAAGTAGTGCCTTTTTGGAACTACCTTATAGGATTCTAAATATGAACCCCCAAAGGGAACTACTTTGGGGCCTCAAGACTATGGAATCCTTTTGCGTAGCGTAGCTTCGGTGCCCGGCCTGCAGAGGCTGCCAGGTTCCTGCACCAGCGGTTTAGGGTTTAGGGGTGTAGGGTTTAGGGGTTTAGGGTATAGGGGTTTAGGGTTTAGGGCTTTACGGTTAGGGGTTTAGGGTTTAGGGGTTCAGGGTTTAGGAACATTCCATGCTCATTGGGATGCTCACGTGCTTGTTTTGGTCCCTAAATACGTTGAGGGCATGTGGCAGGCGCAACACCCATCGCAGGATCGGTCGCCGGCTTGCTGGATCCTGAACAGCTGGTACAAGTTCCCAGGGACGAATATGGTGTCTGCACATCCAATGGGTGGTTGTCAAGATTATGGTCCTTTTTTGGGTCCCTATTATAATACGGCACCCATTTTTAGGGTACTCAAAAAGGGACTCTAATTATGACAACTACTCAAGTCAACGTTGTGGCAGAGAGGAGCTTGCGTCGCCGCTCTACGGATTGAGGGGAGAGATACCCGAGCTCAAGCCGGCCGGATCCAGAAGCATTTACTTTTGGCGGGGCCTTAACAATTACCGATACTATCTTGGGGGTTCCTGATTATGAGTATAGTATAACGGGCCCCAAAACCCTATTCTGACTATCAAGGCCCCTATGGTAACGAGAGCTTTCCAGCATTCCGAGCTGAAAGCAAAGTCGGAGGGCGGTTGCAGGCAGGAGGAGTGACAACTATGTAGAGTAGTGAGGCCAGCCACACCTCACACCTCCCGACCCGCAGCCACAACCCTGCTAAATCCCCAAACCCTACATAAATCCAAAGCCCCACCGCACTAAAAATCTTCAATAATGATGCCCTCCCTGCTAGGAAAGATTTGCAGATGCTAAGGACCTATAGTTTTGGATAGAACGTCCCAAGTAGAGCACTTTAAACCTGATGCTTGAATCCATAAACCTATAAACCTAGCCCCTAATCGCCTCAATCTACGGGTTCTAAGTCAAAGCCCGATGCTCCCATTGAGGGCCTATCGTCTCCACCGTAGATTTCCGAACTTCCAGCTTCGGAGTTTGGTAATGTAGGAACCTGATTAAGTTCCTTTAAAGGGGTCTACAAGGGCTAATATAAGGGATCAATAAGGGTACGGTACTAATGTAGAAACCTGATTGAGAAACCTTGGGCCTTTATTAGGGCTCCTTGTATGAATCCTACTATTTTGGGGTTTTAGGCCCAGGGCTTCTTATCGGGTCCTACATTACCCTGGATTTGGGATGCACGCCGCCGGATCTTCCATCGTCCTTAGCCCTTTTCGTTCTATCGCCAGCTTCGTGGATCTATGTGGCGGTTTCCGGAAATAGGGGACCCGCATAGTACCCCAAATAGTAGAATTCTTATTATAAGGATCCTCAAATGGGGTACCCCTTATATTCGGAAACTCCCATATAGGTAATCCCGAAGCGAGCTGCGCATTTCAACCAAGAAGCAGCACCCAGGGTTCTGCGGAAAACATGGCCGCGACTTTTGGCTCGGCACCTTCGCAGGACCGGCCTGCAAATACAAAGGGGGTTTCGGGTCGCGGCACTTGAGATCTTTGAGGTGTAAAGTTGTTTTGCAGTATCGACAAGCCTAGAGTTCAAGAAGGAATCTGCCCATCGCACCGTGTTTCGGGGATAAGATGGCCTTACCCATAGGCCCCAAAGTGGTTCCTTTTTGTGGTTCATATATAGAATTCTATAAGGTCGTCCCAAAAAGGAACTACTATGGGGCCTATGGGTAATTGCATTCTGACATCAAACGTCCCTGGTCGAGCTTGCAACGATTTTCTCATGCAGCTATGCATGTGACACGGCCGTTGCCTGCTGCACTTGTGAAGAGCATATGCCTGGAGTTAAGATTGCATCTGTGACATGCTTTCACGGAAGGATACAAAACATAGGGGCGAGCCGCTTCAGCCAGACATTGCCACTTTCCTTTCGTTTCGGGCCTGGCTTTAAAACAACCACGAAATCGCTCGCAGGCTTGCGGGTTTGGATGCATGACTGATGCGCTGAGCGCAGGTTCGCATGACGAGCTTGCACAAAAGTTACCCACGCTGCAAGTGGCCATCGCCTCAGATGCTGTTCCATGCGCTCGTCCTTCTTTTGCTTAGCCGCTTAGCCTGACACGACAGAGATGGCTGCGATGTCTTCGATTTCCGCCCTGTGTTGATGTGATAGTTCCGATGCACAAGGGCTTGGCAACTGGGCATCAGCTGTGAAACACAGAGCATCGGCTCTTGGCTTTTGGCATACTTGTCCACAGAAATGTCAGTGTCGATCGAGCAGTGCCACAGAAGCACTTGCTCTTGTCATTCAATCATGTTGCATGCTTCGTTCAGGGCCCCTTCTGGGCAGTGGCGGTGTTCTCGCACTGCTATGCAGCTACGTCAGGACCCTCAGACTTAGGAAGGGGCTTGTGCCAAAATCTTAAGCTGCATGATCGCTGCTTTGCATTTTGTTTGTTTTTGCTGTACTACATGCCGGCGGTCGTCATGTAGTGCTGCCGTTTGTGTTTGTATTCATGTTTGTATATCTGCATGTACTCATACATCCGGGTATATATCAGATTATTAGATGCAGTTATGTATACGTGCATGCATGCATGAATGCATGGACTGATGAATGGATGGGTGGATGGATGGATGGATGGATGGACGGACGGACGGATGGATGGATGGATGGATGGATGGATGCATTTATGTATGTATGTATGTATGTATGTATGAATGTATGCATGTATGTACCTATGTGTATTTATTTATGTGTGCATACTGTTATACATAGTTATATATATATGTATACATATATATATATATACATACACGCACATGCACACAGGACCATCGTCTATGACAGTCTCGAAGGTTCACGGTTCGGAGTGTGAGGTTCAGGGCGGCTTTGGCAAACCTCATGGACGAATCTCGTTCCCACACCAAGAACTTCCGGAGAGTGCATCTAAGCATCTAAGACGCGTCTAGATGCAGCCGCATGAAAGTTTGCGTTTCAGGCTTCGGGTAGCTGCACCAGGCTGTGGGGTCGATTGAGTCGAATGTAAGACACCTGGGAGAATGAGGCTCTCTCTTTCTCCGATTACCTGTTACCAGACATCTTCATGTCGCCATGATAGGCCTCGAATCAGCCCATATGCCCAGCGATGCTGTCAGTAGGCCTTGCACTTTGCAAGGTCCCTTACACCCGACAGTGACGCAGCGGCTCTGACAGAGGTGCGCAGCTCATGAAGGATCGGATCCCTCGTCGTTGGGATTTGTACTGTCGCTTGTGTAGGATGGTTTCAGACTCATCGAGGGCCTTGGAGAGTTAAGAACTTAACGGACGAGCCAAACTAGAATCAGAAATGCTGGCGAGCCAAATTGGTCCTGCAGCCTGATTGCGACCAGGTGGTTCCTGTGGTTCAGGGTCTCACAGGTGATAAGGCTTGCTTAGGACTTGTTGATTTCTGCCTTTGAGGCTACTTGGTCTTCCGATTGCGGATTTGGAGTTTGTAGGCTCCTCCAAACGCAGCACTGTGTTACTTCAGGGGCAAGAGGAAACGGGGTCCTGAAATGCTCTGTCGGCTATGCAGCAGAACTCTGAACTGGAAAATCCAGAGCCCGGCAACATAACCCCTGAAAGACACAAGCCCACCTCAAGATGAAACCCTGAACCATATGCGACACCTTAAACTTCAAGCCCTGAACACGCTGCTTCCCCTCCCGAAGAGGTCATCGGCCTTGGCCAACGCCTGCGAAAGCCACAGAGGCGGGAGGCTTTTCACGCTCTGGAGGGGTTCTGGGTTTAGCATCTCTTTAGGCTCTAAGGGGGCCCGGGTCGGTGTGAAGCCGTGTTGTCATCATCGTCATCCTCACAATCTTTGTTGGTGTTGTTGAGATAAACACAGCCTGCGTCTTGTTGTAGTGACAATTGCGAGCGTGGATGGTGGGTTATTTTAACTGAAGGTATCGTTCGTGGCCATTTTGGTCTCAAGGACGATACCCATCTTTTGGGCAAGTCCAAGGAACAGGGTGGAGTTTGTCTATGGACCTTGCGGTCGTTCCTTATAGCTCGCCTTTGATCTTCGCCTCTGGCGGGTCACTGGTGGGCTGGGAGGACACCCAAGGGGTACCTGGACTACTCCTTAGCCTGTGCTTTTGCGTCTGGGTTTTCGGATTCTGCTGCGGTAGCTGCTGGGCACGGCCGAGCTCAGCACCCGTGGTAGGCCGGGCCCCGCCGACGCCTGCGCATACTCCTTTGGACCGGTGGGCACGGATTTCCCAGAGGGCTGTGAACTTCGTTCGGAGCCGGAGGCGGCTCTCTTTGGCCTTTGCCAACCTCGGGAACTACAGCCTCCGCAACACCACCGAGTCCCGCCCGAATCTCCGGAGGAGGGCTGCACGGAGGGCCTCGACGCCTGGGCCCATACTTCACGAAGGTCCCGCTCTTCAAAATGGACCCGACCGACGCGGAGCTGGCGGCGATAGCAGACCTACCGGGAGTGTTCACTTGGGCAGGAGTGACAGGGGCCCTGGAGCGAGCACTGCGGGCGGCATTGGGCGACCCAGCTCGCGTGCGAGAGCTAGCCCTCGTCCCTAGAGCTGCCTGGGACACCCTGGTGAGCACCCTGCGAGTGGCAGGACCAGCCGACGCCGACGGCAATCCAGGCCCGCCCCGGGACTTGACCTTGGTAGAAAGAGCCGGGTCGAGTCGAGCCGCCGAGTGGCTTTGCTGCGCATGGGCATCCCCCCAGACGTCCCAGGGGGAACAAGCCCGCCAGCACCAGCTCCGACAACGGGGCCGGCACCCACGGGGAGCACACCGGCGACAGGAGCGAGGAGGCTGAAGTTGTCGTCCATCCTCGACCCCACCTTGGACGCCGAGGTCTCGCCGCTGGGCGCAGCCGAGCTGCAACAGCTCTACAAGGACTACAAGGCCAAGTTCGGCGACTACCCCAGCCCGGATGCCGATCCCTCCTCGGATCAAGTGGCGTCGCTGCGCCAGGTGGTGGCCGCGGGAGCTGCACCTTACGCAGATTTCTCGCTGTTCGGGCCTCACGGCCTGCGCCTCCTTCGCAAGCAGACGTTCACGAGCTACACTCTGAACGTTGCCACGGGCGAGTGGTCCAAGAAGGAGCAGCCGGGCCCCTCGAGCTACCACACGTGGATGGAAGCTTGGAAGGTGTTCCGCACCACGCTCCTCTTGCTGGAGATCGCCGACGCGGAGCGGCTGGACGCCTACGCGGAGCACGTCAGGTCATATGTCACCCAGTTTTCCGATAACTGCTGGTGGCTGATCTACAGGGCGGAGAACCGCCTTCGCTGTGAACATCTCGAACGCATCCGGCGGACCTTGACGGACCGCCCGGAGTTCGGGTTCACTAGCGCACGGCCCTGGAATGCGTGCTTTGCTGCGGCCGTCCGTGACAGCGACTTCTGGACGAGAGAGCTGATCACGCCCGCGACCCTTTGGTTGTCTCAGAGGCAGCCAGGTAGCGGGAGCGACGGCAGCGGCGGCGGCAGCGCGGGCACGGGGCAGCTCAAAGGTCGAGCCGGGCAAGGAAGTGGGGCCGATGATGGCTCCCCTAAGAAGAAGCAAAAGAAGGGGCGCTATGACGGGGAGGACAAGAGTGAGAAGAAGGACGGGGTGTATGTCCTCAACAGGCGTGGCGCCAAAATATGTGGTGGATATAACAAGGGGAAGTGTGGCAGCAAGAAGCCACAAGGCAAATGCCGAGATGGCTGCAGCCATCAATGCAACATGTGCCTCGGCCCCCACCCCGCTACGGACTGCAACCGCTCCTGACTCCCCGCCGACCTCGCTGATTCAACGCCCTCTTCGGCGGCAGCCGGGGGTGAGACAGCGGCGGCTCCGCCTGGCACTTCTCATGGGGGGCGGTACGTCAAGCCGACGCCGAAGCGGAAAGCAGGGCCGGCAGACGACGCGAACCAGCAGCTTGTGGACAAGACGGCGCAGTCCAAGGCATCGGGCACCCGACCCTCCGAGCCGCGTCAGCCTCCAGCGCAGAAGCCACCGACGCCGCCACGGGCCAGGCCGGCGATCAAGCGCAAGAGGCCCGATGCCACCCAGCCGGCCACTTCCTCCACAGCCGACGGAAGCCCGAAGGCCAAGGTGAAGAGGCACGCAGCGGCGGCAGCCACGGGCAACAGAACGAAGGGTGCGAGCGGCAAGCTGGCCAGCACCCAAAGCCTCCTGCTGGTTCCCCCGCTGGAGACGGCGTGGCCCGACTACCAGCCACTTGTCCGGGGCCCACGGCCGTATGGGATGTGGATGGAGCAGCCCGCCGACACCTTTGTGGAGAGGCCTTGGGCACTCGTCCTTTTCAGTGGCCGGCGCCGCAAAGGAGACCTTCCCAACTGGCTGGTGCACTATGGCTTCATGGTGTGCTGTGTCGACAGGGACTCCTCGCCGTCGTGCGACGTCCTCGACGAAAGTCAGTGGAACTTAGTCGAACGAGACATCATTGACGGGCACTTCTCGGTGGTGTGGGCTGGCACACCTTGCGGCACCTTCAGCCCTCTGAGGGAGGTCCGCCCTGGACCCCGCCCGCTCCGCACGGTTGAGCACATAGAGGGCAAGCCGGACCTCAGCCCGTCGGAGAAGACACAGGTCAAAGAGGCCAACGTGCTGGTGGAACGCACGCATGATGCACTGGTGGCGGCCTGGGACCAAAAGCTCACCTGGGGCTTGGAGAACCCGGCCCACGGCGAGGACAAACCGGAACTGTGGCAGATGCCGCTCATCCGCCAACTCGCGGGCCTCGATCGGGTCGCCATCGCAGCGTTTGACCAGTGCAAGCTCGGCCTGGACACGGTGAAGCCCACCAAGATCCTCTACAGCAGCAACGCCAGTGGCTTTGAAGTTCTGGACGGGCTTCGGTGTGATCACCCTCCAGGGTCCCATGGCAGCACCGCCGGGAAGAAGGAGAGGGGCCCGGCCGGCTCCAAGCAGTGGGCCTCCAAGCGCCAAGGCGAATACACGCCCCACCTCTCCCAGATCATCGCTCATTCTCTGTACCAGGGCTTCCGCGTCAGGGCCCTGGAAACGGAGTCCCTATGAGCGGCTGACCCCACCTCGGAGTTCCAGGCCCTGGCGGCGAAGGGCCCGAGGACGGAGAGGGACAGGGAGAACAGCCAGGCCTTGGGCGGCATGCGAAACCCCCGCCGTTCACTCCGCAGGCTGCCCAAGTCGAGAAGGGTGGGTCGGGCCATCCACAAGCTGCTTCGGAGCTCCATGCAGCAGTGGCCCGAGCTGGTCGAACCTGCGCTCGCCATCCTGGAGGGGAGGAAGCCGGAGGAGTTCGACATGGATGTGATCGGCAAGATCCGGGCAGCAGTGCTCACAACATTGGGGGCCGACGCGCGGGCCACGACACGCGAACGCACGGCCCCAGCGAGCACGCCACTTCGGGCCGAGATCTTTGAGGCCTGGGGCAAAGCCACAGACGACCCGGACTCGGCAACACTGGCCGGCTGGCTCGACCACGGGGCGCCCCTTGGCTTGACGGAGGATATCCCTTCCACCGGGGTCTTCCCACCGGTGGTGCCTCGGGACCTAAAGCCCCACGAGAAGCTCGACCGCAGGGCTCTTGAGGGCTGGTCCAACTACAAGTCGGCCGAGGAGGAGGCACACGTTCTGGACGAGCTCATCACCGACTACGAGAGAAGAGGGTTCTGCACGGTGGTTTCCACCCTGGAGGAAGCCATCGAGATCCTGGGCGGCCCGCCCGTCCTCAACCGACTCGGCGTCTTGGTGAAAGAAAAGAAGGACGCACAGGGCAACCTGGTGCGAAAGGCCCGGGTCATTTGGGACCTGAAAGAGTCACAGGTGAACAAGGCGTGCAACCAGGGGGAAAGGATTATCCTCCCTAGGCTTCTGGACGTGGTGGCCTCCCTCTTGGCGGCCTATCGGAGGGGCCGGCCACCCTTCCTGGCGTGCATCGACATCCGGGACGCCTTCATGAATATACCAGCCGGGAAGGACCGGCGCTTTACGGTGGCGGCCGTCCCTCGGAAGCGGAACCGAGGCAAGATGCACAAGCTGGTGCTCTTTAACACGTTGGTGTTTGGATCGGCGTCCTCACCAACCGTGTGGGGACGCGCCGCAGCGTGGCTTGGAAGAACGACGGCAGCCACGGGGCCAGCCGACACCCAGGTGTACGTCGATGATCCGGTCTTTGTGCTGGACGGGCCGCACTTGAAGGTCGCCGCCTCAGACCTGACGGTGGCCCTGCTTTGGGCCGCCGTTTCAGGCTACCCCGTCAAGCTTTCGAAAGCCTGTGGTGGCAAAGACTTGGAATGGGTGGGCGCGAGGATCCGGTGCGTCGACGCGGAGGAGGCAGTGATCGTGACCCTGCCGGCCTCCAAAATTCAGGCCCTCCTGCAAGACACCGACAAGTTCCTGGGCCGATCAGTGGTGGGATCAAGGGAGCTACGCTCCTTCACGGGGGCTCTCTCCTTCGTTGCGGGCCTGGTACCGCACTTGCGGCCGTTCCTGGCTACCTTCTGGGCGGTTTTGACCAGGCATGATGTGACGGGTGAAGGTCGGCATACTTTGTCGACCCGAAGGCTCATACATGTCAGGCGGATCCGCCCGGCACTCTGCTGGGTTCGGGCGCTACTAGCCGGTGGCCCCACCATCGAGAAGATCTTCTACGCCAACCCGCCCAAGGTCGACCTGGAGATCGTCACCGACGCTTGCCCATGGGGGATGGGAGGAATAAGGAGAGAAGGGGGGCGTCCCACGGCCTACTTCTACCTCCACATCCCAGACGTAGTCCTCCGAAAATTCGGGGCGGAGCGGGGCCTGCCGAAATACAACACGCTGTGGGAAGGACTGGCCCTTCTGGTCGCCTTCCGCTTGTGGCTGCCCTCCCTCGTTCACGGCGCCACGTTTCGGGCCAAGTCGGACAACCTCGGGTTCCTCATGGCACTTGCCAAGGGAAGCGCAAGGTCTGCGGACCTCAATGTGCTTGCTCGGGAGTTTGCCTTCGACCAGGCGACGCGGGCCTACCACGTGAACGGTTTGGTCCACATCCCCGGCGTCACGAATGTGCAGGCGGACGCCCTTTCTCGCCAGTTCGCTCCTGAGGCAAAACGCTTCCCAAAGGAGCTTCTGGAGGTTCCTCGTGACGAGGTCCTCATCAACGATCACTTCTGGAAAGTGTGAGTAAAAGGTTCGTTGCTTTGCGGGTTCGTGTCTCCCTCTCGCTCTCCCCCCGCTCGTTTGCTCTCTTCTCCGGGGTTAGGCCGTGCCGTTTGGGTCACGCGTTTCTGCAGATGCCGCGGCCCAAGAGATCGTACGCTGTAGCCTTCAGGCCCTTAAGTAACCCCACCACGCTTCGAGACCCACCGAGGGCACCTGGCATTCTTCACGAGGGTCCTGCTCTAGGGCGGCCCGACGTGGGTGCGGGAACCCAACCGGGGGGCTTGGCGGGTGCAGGGCCAGAGGCGGTAGCTAGAAACAATGGGGAGCCAAGTGCATATCGTCGGGGGTCGGCGGCCCTGGCCATGGAAGCTTTAACTGACCCCGTTCATTGCCGTTCGGTTTTGCTGGCCGACTCTAGAGCGACCACCTCCATTGGACCCGTTGAGTCTAGACTCAGGCAATGGGTGGCTTGGTCAGTGTGGGCAGGGCTCGAGCCTTATCCCCTAACACCCGACGGAATGTACGTCGTCATGGGTGGGCTCAAAGAGGCAGGCTACCGTTCAGCGATGCAATACCTGGACCTTGCCAAGCAAGAACACGTCCAGAAAGGACACCCGTGGACGGACCAGTTGGCCTTAGCGTATCGGGTTTGCTCGCGCTCCTGCAAGCGAGGGCTTGGTCCAGCCAAACAGGCGGCGGCCCTCCCGCTCGACAAGCTGGCCGGGTTAGACCAGTCACGCTGTCAAGTCCCTTCGGGACCGGCGAGGCCAGTCACCTCCACTATAGTGGCGTCCTGGTGGCTCTTACGCGAGCTGGAAGCGTCCCGCGCCAAGGTTCGGCACATTACCCTGGACTTCGGGGCGAAAGTAGCCGCATGGTTGCTACCGTCGTCCAAGACGGATGTTGCAGCGCTTGGGGCCACCCGCAAGCACTCTTGTTCCTGCGCCGTTTTACATCCAGACCTTTGCCCTTTTCACACCCTAGCGTCTCTGGTGCAGGGAAAGCAACCGGAAGATCCCGTTTTTGTGGACCTGGATGGATGCCCACCATCAAAGCATGGGTGGGCCGACACATTCCAACGAATCGCAGCTTTGCTGGGGCTCCCGTTGTACCATCACAACGGAGCTCGGGCTTTCACTGGCCACACGGCACGCGCTACAGGAGCGCAGTTCCTAGCCTTTAAAGGAATCGAAATTTGGCGCATCCAAATTTTTGGGAGGTGGGGAAGCGAAGTGATTCTCCGATACGTCCGCGATGCCCCTCTAGCACAGCTGAACGAGTTGGCCATCGAGGCTGGCGACAGGGAAACCTTAGCCAAGATTCGCAGCGATCTGGACAGGCTTATGCGGGAGGTCAGACCGTCACTGGCAATCCCCGATTCCAGTTGGCACGTTGAGTGCCAGGTTAGGGGCGCGCCGGCGTCAGGCCCGGCGGCCATCCACACTAGCACGGCCAAGGCCCTCGTCCTCAATACGGCTCGAGGTGGCAAGCTTCACAAATGCCTTAGCGATTTCAGCTCACCCCAGGTGGCGCTGAACCCGAGCTCGTGGCGTACCTGTTGTCTTTGGCCCTTCGCGTCAGGCGACAAATCCTTTCAATGGGTGCCCCTCCGCCATAAAGGCAGGAGATGCAAACATTGCTTCCCCAGCCAGAGGCGGGCTCCGTCGGAATCGGAGTCAAGCTCCTCTTCCTCCTCCAACTCGAGCACAAGCTCGAGTGACTCTTGATACCGAAAACAACCGCGCTAAGCAGGCGGGACGGACATTTATTTGGCAGTTGTTGGTCAGGTCATGCGGGTATCTTCTGCCCACTTGAGTTTGTCCAAGGGCCCTATCGGCTCCTTTTGGACATAGCAAGCGGAGCGACCTTTACGACCAACTGTTGAAAAGTCCGTCTGCTTCGCTTAGTAGATGGTGGTTGTTTGGGGAGCGGATAGCAATTGTCGAGATAAACACAGCCTGCGTCTTGTTGTAGTGACAATTGCGAGCGTGGATGGTGGGTTATTTTAACTGAAGGTATCGTTCGTGGCCATTTTGGTCTCAAGGACGATACCCATCTTTTGCCCACCCGCCCACTCCTGGGTATCTTCTGCCCACTTGAGTTTGTCCAAGGGCCCTATCGGCTCCTTTTGGACATAGCAAGCGGAGCGACCTTTACGACCAACTGTTGAAAAGTCCGTCTGCTTCGCTTAGTAGATGGTGGTTGTTTGGGGAGCGGATAGCAATTGTCGCCTGCAGCTCTCGATTCCGTGTTCTGGCTCGCAATATGGTGATTCTTCACACTACGGATGCAAGCCCCACCCGAGACCCTAGACGTTCTAGATTCTAGGTTCCCGCAAGTTTCTCCAAGTTTCCTCCACTTCGGACCCCCCAAAACCCCCCCCCCCTTCCCCCTCAAGCAAAACCCACAACACTCCTATAAAACCCCCTTGGAAAACCCGAAGGCCGCCAGTTCTTGGAGGTTCGTGGGTAGCTATAAGTAGGGCTATAAGTAGGGTAACTATATACTTATTACCCTATATATTAGGGGACTTATAACCTACTTATAACTACCCAGATTACCCATATTAGAGGACTTATAACCCTACTTATAACTACCCATGAACCTCCGAGTTGAGCCTTGCTTTCCAAGTTGCCCTTGGAGAAGAGGCGGGTCTCTGGGCCTGGGCTCGTGTACCTCCTGGTGCAGGAGCAGGGCTTCTCGAAGCTGCCGGGGCCTCTGGCAAAGGCATTCCTTTGTCATAGTTGGGTAACATTTTAGATTTTTATGGGTACTTAAACCCAATAAGCAATAACAATTTAAATTTTTGATCCTGTCCCAACCATGACTTAGATTCAGAGTTTAGGGTAAAGGCGTTAGATTAAGGGTTTAGGGCATTTGGGGCTTGGTGGTTACACTTCCCTTGTGCTTCAGTCAATGTCTTGCCGTACGATGCTCTCTATATCTCTTTCGTAACTGTCTCCGCGTCTCGTTCTCTATTTCTCGCTCTCTCTCTCTCTCTCTCTCTCTCTCTCTCTCTCTCTGAAACTGTTTATGTGCACGTCCGGATACCTTTTGGATGACAGTTGCAAACATGCAGGTGCAAGATCATAGGCGCACAAGCAATCGCTTGTATATCCGAGTGATGCAGTCCCGGCTCTCTGTGAACTTTGACCCACCGGGATCCACAGCGTCCGTAGACTGCGAGGTACAAGTACAACATGGCAAAGAAGCTGCTGCCGGCCGACCGCGGACATGCGCAAGAAGCTTACGCTGACATGCTTGATGTCATTGACGCATTGGAAATTTGCGCGTTTTGTTGTCGTCTTGTTCTTCAGCCTAGCTTCTCTGAGGGGTGTGCGCCCAGCCGCACCAAAGAGGCATGGCAGCCGCGCCGGTGCAGTCATATAACGCATCGCAGCATATCTCGGTCAGAGCGTTCTTTGCAAGTTCTAGATGTCGGAGTTTCCGACAGTTAGGGGTAATTACCTATTTGGGGTCCTTACCGAAAGGAACCTCTTGTTTAGGGTAGGACATATTAGGGTCCCGTACTTTCGGGAACTCCCAGATGAGCATTCCGCCTCGCAGGAGTGCGACCAAGCCGGCTGAAGACTCCAAGGCCTTGCTCCCGAGGGTCCTCGTTGGTGTCATAGAATATATATATATATATATATACTACTACATACAACATTATCTATGATAGATGCTATAAAATGTAACTGTATAATCTATCATATATACTATATACTAAGTGGTATATATATATATATATATATGGGTACCCCCCTATATGGGGTCGAGATACGGCTGATACGACGTCATTGTAGGGAGAGAGAGCATTTCAATTTTTACAGCGTGGTCAGGTTTCATCACTTCGTACATAGGTGAACTGGTTGCAACGTTATGCTCAAACATCGTTCCAAGGAAGCCGGATTTCGACGAGACAAAACTGATAAGAATATGTGTGGTGAGCGAAACAAAATTCGCGACTTAAACTGTTAGGTTTCCTCGCTCGGTACGTAGAAAATTCCTCGCAATGCTATTTCCAACTACATGGATGAACTTCTTTCGAGGAGTGATTCGGTGTGTGTGTGTGTGTGTGTACCACTTTTTCTAACACGAGGATCACGTTCTGGACTGGGAACAATGGCTTCTGTTCGACTTTCAGTAAATATTCACAAGAACACAAACAGAAATTCGGAGAAGCTAGATGTAGCCTTATGGTTTTCAGTCGGCTTTACGTGATGGTTAAGGTATGCTGATACAAGAAGCACAGGCTACATCACTCGGCATATAGAAACAGTGCCAAGCCTAAGAAGCGACGCTTCATGTCGTCCCCTAGGAAAAACACTATACAACGTTTGCTAAGCTTGTAGTATGCAAGTTTCCAATTTTGGCTTGGGGCAGCCGTCATACAGAATTAAGGAATGCACCACTCAAATATACCTACCGGATATACCAGTGTTTAAAAGCACTCACATGGGGGCACAGGGATATGTCATTGAAAGCTATCAGTTTGCCAAAACGTCATAGCAATGCGTCCAACAACAGACACTTTCGTGGGATTGCGGCATTACAGTACAAAGATGGAAAACGTTTCGTTGCAAAATCTAGTTCGCGATAAGGAATGACTGAACCAGACTAATGACTACAGCGCGCTTGTTGGAAAAAAAACCGAATTACAGCGGTTTAGATACAGTCACACAAACATGAACTACGAAGCTACATCGACGGCTTCAAAGCAAGGATTTTAGCACATTGTAACAGGTTTTCGACGAAGGTGTCATAGAATTCTTAGCGTTGTGCGGGTTTCAGCATTCTGAAGACATGGTCTTCAAACCGGATATAATACTGTAGTCGATGACGTACACCTGATTATAACCTAGTCGGCTGTAATGTATACCTGATTATAAATTATTCGAATGGTTATAACCTAGTCGGCTGGTTATAACCTAATCGGCTGGTTATAACCTAGTCTGGTGGTTATAGCTCAGTCAGATGATGTAGCGAAAAACGTAGGGGACCCCAAATAGGGGCGCGCCCTATATGGGTACCCCCCTATATGGGGTCCCCTGGGTTTTTGCACACCCAAACCACTAAACCATTAAACCATTCCTTTTGCTCCATACCACTAAACCAATAAACCATTAAACCATTAAACCAATCATTTCCCCCAATGGACCCAAACCAATAAACCATTAAACCATTAAGCCAATCATTTCCCCCAATGGACCCAAACCAATAAACCATTAAACCATTAAACCAATCATTTTCCCCTATAGAGAGAGACACACCCCTGTATGGGCCGAAAGCATTGGTTTAATGGTTTAATGGTTTAGTGGTTTAGTGGTCTAGTGGTATGGAGCAAACGGATTGGTTTAATGGTTTAACGGTTTAGTGGTTTAGTGGTATGGGGTAAGGGGATTGGTTTAATGGTTTAGTGGTATGGGGCAAAAGGATTGGCTTAATGGTTTAATGGTTTATTGGTTTGGGTCCATTGGGGCAAAGGATTTGTTTAACGGTGTACTAATTTAACGGTTTGTTAATGGTTTAATGGTTTACGTAGTGATGGGTCTAGGGCTGCCTACTACGCAGGTGTCCTGGTTATAACCGGGGACAAAGGTTATAACCAGGCCTGTGCCACCGCTACAGTACTTCATCAACACCTAAATCCAAACGTTCGAAAGTGTCGGTGTTTCAGGGTGAATGTAACCGCAATGAAATTAAACAAGGACTGGAAGAATAGAGGGTCCGAGGTAATTGGCGTGTATGCGGTTGTTGAGGCATGATGCAGTGCTTTGTAACAAACATAATTCCGGGGACCATATGCGCATTCCCCAACTTTAGCGGAAAGGCTTTTTGGCGACTTTACACAATGGTCTGTCCGTTCCAGTACATCGGGTTTATGAGACCTATGTACACATTGAGAGAATAGCCGCTAACATGTCACTCACGCAGGAATCAAAATGCGGAATATGAAGGGGCTCTATCGGGATTACAGTAGGTCAGTAAGTGTTGTCAACATTGGAATATCACGGTACATAGAAAGTTGAGATACGGCTGATACGACGTCATTGTAGGGAGAGAGAGCATTTCAATTTTTACAGCGTGGTCAGGTTTCATCACTTCGTACATAGGTGAACTGGTTGCAACGTTATGTTCAAACATCGTTCCAAGGAAGCCGGATTTCGACGAGACAAAACTGATAAGAATATGTGTGGTGAGCGAAACAAAATTCGCGACTTAAACTGTTAGGTTTCCTCGCTCAGTACGTAGAAAATTCCTCGCAATGCTATTTCCAACTACATGGATGAACCTCTTTCGAGGAGTGATTCGGTGTGTGTGTACCACTTTTTCTAACACGAGGATCACGTTCTGGACTGGGAACAATGGCTTCTATTCGACTTTCAGTAAATATTCACAAGAACACAAACAGAAATTCGGACAAGCTAGATGTAGCCTTATGGTTTTCAGTCGGCTTTACGTGATGGTTAAGGTATGCTGATACAAGAAGCACAGGCTACATCACTCGGCATATAGAAACAGTGCCAAGCCTAAGAAGCGACGCTTCATGTCGTCCCCTAGGAAAAACACTATACAACGTTTGCTAAGCTTGTAGTATGCAAGTTTTCAATTTTGGCTTGGGGCAGCCGTCATACAGAATTAAGGAATGCACCACTCAAATATAGCTACCGGATATACCAGTGTTTAAAAGCAATCACATGGGGGCACAGGGATATG